TACTTCCAGGTTCTGCCAGCGGGCAGCAATACAGAATTTTCTGCAAGCGCTCGTCAAATTGATTTTCAGCGAGCGCTGGCTAAACTTTCAGCAGGCGCTCAGACTCTTTTTGCGCAGTTTCAGGTGTACGCCGGGCAAAGGTGAAACTCTATGTGGCAGAGGTGTCATCGCTGGCTTGACTACCTGAGTTTGGGGTAGTTTCTTTCTGCGGAAGGTACCTAAGGGCTCTGCCGTCCTTCACAAAGGATCGTGCGGCCCCAACAATTTTGCATATTCTCGCGAAAAGTCCGCGGGAATGCGGCCACTGCGCCGCAACTTATCTAAAGAAGAACTCCGAGCCTTCTAGAAAATTGGCTGACATTCTTCCAAATTTCTGCAAGCGGACTGCAGGAAATCAGCGAACTATTTTTCGGAGCCTGCTTGCCCAAATCGCATGACCGCCTGCCCCCGGCGATTATCTGAGTAAGTGTTTTGAAACGTCCTCCGTGGACTAAGCTTCATAGGACATTTGACATGTCCGTTCCCTTACAAAAAAAGGAAGGTCGGTCGAAGTGGCCTTTCAAGAAGCGTGGGATACCATCTTGTAGGGCTTCGAATGCTAATTTCAAATCTGTCTTCCTTATCTGCCGCGCGTTTTCGGGCGGAGAGTTATGAGGGTTTTTAGAGGGTCGACACAAGTACAATCAAGGGCGACAAACACTGTGTGCAGTCTGATGGCGGTCTTGCAGGCAGAAGCTCCCATGTTCGATTCCCTTGTTGTAATTGTTGTTTTGCTGGTCTACAAAAAAAATTGTATGAGCGTGGACATCGTTTACACACACCCCTTCCTTCTTTTGATTGCAAATCTTTTCAGAGCAATTTTATTACTCGGTGTTTTCAAAGGTCTATGTGCACTGATGAAAGGAGAGGACAAAATGTACAAAACATAGGCATTTTTCACAATGAAAGCAACGAATGAAGACTACTTCTGAACAATCCAAATGGTCACAGTCTCCTATGAGATTGGAAGGGAAGCAATATTGTGCGGTACAGCAATACAGCAATACGTTTCAAAATCTCCTGGATGTGCCTCAAGGTAGCCGCTGGCGCACCAGGAATAAGCCAAGAAATTTCTGAAACGGTGCGAACTGACGGCAAATTAATGATAGGAGCCTTAAAAGGGAATCGCGAGCATAAACAATGATGCAGATCATAGATCATGGGTCTTTTGACATTTCTACCTCCATTTCTTGCAGAGACATTCAAAGAAACCATTTATTGCCTTGCGATTCTGATAAAAGAAAGAAGGGGTAGTGTATGGACGATGCCCATGCGCATACGTTTTTTGTAAACCAGCAAAATGAAAATCAGAACAAGGTTATCAAACCTGGGAGCTTCTGCCTGCAAGACCACAACGTTAACCACTACACCAGACGGCAAACAGCGTTTCCCGCTCTTGATTGTACTTGTGTCGACTTCCACCTCCTAAAAACCCTCATAACTCTTCGCTCAAAAACGCGCCGCGGCAGCTGGCAAAATAAACCAACCGCTGACCCACCTTCATGAAGATATTAGTGGTCCGCAGAGAGTAGCGCACGAGCCGTAGAGCTGTTGCGGACAGACGACACTGAGTCTCACTCGGTGTATCAGTTTATATTAGGGAACCTGCAGACCGCGCCGGTTGCCACTATTGCAGCCGGTAGCCACTTTCGCGCCGACTGCCGCTTTTGCAGCCCAAGCGCACCGGATCAGCTTCTGTTGGTGGGGGCGTAGTTTGGACCAATTCGCACTAACGGGATATTTGCAGGGTTTTTAATTTTCTTGTCGCTATTCTTTCATTCTGAAGAATTCTATTCTTCTAGACTGCATGGAAAATACTTTTGCAGATGTTGTTTATTTAATCTTGCTTCCGTTTCCCCACTGTTCTACGATGCTGGATTGATGAATTATTGCTAGAGGATGTTTTTTTCTATGCCCCACTGCGAAGCTATTCGTCCACCAAAAACATGAGCAACTTGTGCTAAAAAGAGTCTTTTCATCTAGTTTTCATTTTCAAGCTATTTTTTATGTTAGCTGACCGTTCTGTTCAAAACAAGGCTTTTACCTTCAGTCTTGAAACTAAGCTACTATGTATCCACGGACAAAATCTGACCCCGTGCGCTTCGGATGCAAAAGCGGCAACCGGCGCGAAAGCGGATAGCGGCTGCAATAGCGGCAACCAGCGCGGTTTGGAAGCTACCTTAGGCAAGTTACTCACATAATTATAAAAAGTGCTGAATCGCTTGTCACTGATAGGATTCCTGAATTGTCATTGATTCTCATTCCTGAGTTTCATGCTTAGGCCCAAAGCTAGAAGATAGAGATCCACGAAGCTTCCAGTATCTTTCGTGCAAAAATTTCTGACTTGTGCACCAAGATAAAACGTTTGGCCTCATAGCTCCGCAATGTGCTTCAATTCTATGTATATTGTATTCTGTCTAAGTATACTCAACGCTGATCTCGAATTCCCCCGTTTTCTGCTGAGTGTTTTTTGAACCTGTTGTTCCAATGCTCTGCCCGTCTCACCTATATGGGAAGCCATGCAACTCGAACATTTCAGGTGGCATACGAATCCTGACTCCGGGCAAACGACTACACAGACAATCGCCGGGGGCAGGAGGGCACCGGAAAAATAGATGGCTGATTTCTTGCACCCCGCTCGCGGATTTTTGGAAAGCAACCAGGACTTTTCGAAACGCGCATGCTGTGTTCTCGATTTCTCAGAGATTCAGCAATATCTAATATATAAAGTATCGTTAGCTCAATTCAAAAATGTGCAAATAGCGGGAAACCGCGATGCAGTCCCGAAGCGCGCGGATGCAATCCAGCGCCTTCAATTACTGGTTCACTAGTACCTGCAAAAGATGCGAGCGAAAAAAGATTCAACAGGCGGTCTCTCAAAAACTCGCCGACCATTTGACTGGAATTTGCGAGCGGAATGCGAAATATCAGCAACGCGTATTTTCCGGCGCCCGCCTGCCCCCGGCATTATCTGAGTACTTTTTCGTATGGACAAACAATGCATTGCACCAATACGCATTATGTATCTTATAACTATTTCGCACAAACTGCTTCAAGATGCTGTCGATGGGGATGTTTAGCAGTATAACCTCACTTTGCAGTTGTGCTTGGGTAATGCCTACGCTTCAAAGCTGCATTTATCGGAGAAGAAAGGTATGCGAAGTGCGGCTTTCTTGTCCTCCTGTGCTGTTTGACTAGCGAAACCACTTCGGAACGTCTACCATTATGCGGATCTGGGTAGCCCATATTTTTGATGGTCTAAAGATAGGGCCTCAAAAGTGAAGGTTGTCTGAATATCTGCCCCACGTAAAAGACGAGGGTTGTTTTAGAAAGCAAGAGAAGAGAAGAAGATGCAAAACAAAAAGCAAAAGCAGAAGAGATCCTCAAGAGACGCGAAGTCAGGGGTCATGCTTGTAGCTAGAATGCTCACGTCGCATGGCTTTCTGTCTAAATGAAACGGGCAGAGAACTGAACATCAGGGTCAAAGAGCACTTAGCAAAGGGAATTTGTATCATCGTAGAAACAGAATAGAAGCACATCGCGGAACTGAGTTTGAGGTCAAATGTTCCATCTTGGCGCACGAGGCAGAAACTCTGCACGGAAGATACTGGAATCTTTGTGGGTCTCTATGGAGATTCCCAAACATAGAATACAAGAATGAATGAATATCAATGACAAATGCTTTCTGCACTTTCTATCATTATGTGGACAGCTTGTCATATATAGATGTGATAGACCAAGTGACTCTCAGTGTCGTCCGTCCGCAACATTTCTACGGCTCGTCCGCTACTTTCATGACGGTGGATTAACGATTGGTTTCTTCTGCTAGCGTGCCTCTCTGCACATTATGCATAATAGAGGTCTAGACGCGATAAGTACGGAGAAGACGTTTGGCGGTATAGTTTCACAGGTCAAGACTGCAATCATTTTTTAGACTTCCGAAGGCGACCTAATGGAGACGCTAAATCAATAAAGGTTCACCCACTAATGTGGGACTGGGATAACATTTCCACATAAATTAGTACATAAATTGCCCAGATCCAGAAAAGAAAAAACCTGGAGTTTCCTTCAACATCGTCATGGGCAGACACTGAAATTAGACTTGAGATCAGCATTTCAAGGGAAGTGCGACGATATATAGCTTGATTGGACTGGTTCTGACTATTCCCTTATAAACACTAAAAGCCGAGACAGCAGCGACGCCTGCTGCTTTCAATAAGATGCGTGCCTTTATCTGTCCCTTTGAACAAGATTGCTGAGGAATCTTGATAATTGCGCAGAAGTATAACACGGCCATCGCTTTGCACCTTGTGACATGCATCCGTTATTTCCATGCATGTGTCCCATGCGCCCTTTCTTCCAATTTTGTTGCCTTGCCTTTGTCATGCACGTCATTTTGAGCCTTTTGATTCAACGAAATTGGGCTAAAAAAGCGAGGCTTTGAGATCTAATAAAAGCTAGAGAATGATCAGAGAGCACGCTCGGGAGAGAGGCGCAAACTGCGTCGCGGAGGTAGGCGCCTTCTAGCCTCAGTCCGTTGAATCAAAGGCTAGGCTTAATCCGATGCGAAACCTTGTGAACTCCATTGTGATTTGTTGAAAGAAACTAAGCAAAGGCCGGCCTTTCAATTGGTTCATAAACATCATATTTCTGACTTTTAGTCAGCAAATATCATTTAAATAATCTCCATACTACATAAAGTTCATTGCGCCTTGACCAATTTTTCATTCTTCTTCCAGTACTCGAGTAGTCGATACAAAACAATCGGTTATTCGAGATTTTTCGCTTCCAAATACACTTGAATTCGAATTTTCTTCATTTAAAAATATTCGACATTCAATTATCAGTGTTTTTGATTTTGGGAAAGTCAGTACTCTAGTAACCTATCTTTGACTGGAGGAAATAATCGAGAGTCGAGTACGACGCGAAAAGCCTCGAATATCCAAAAGTATAGAACGTACCCAGTGGCATTGGAGAATAACCCATTCTATTCACTTGTTGAGTGGAGTCACTGTAGAATGTACCATTGTCGTAATCCTGCGGGAACTCTTCACATAAGGAAGGCAGCGAGTTCACGAAGTCGCCAGTAATTGACCTAAGCATAAGTATTCTAATATGTAAAGATAGGTTTGAATGCGTGTGTGTTCACTTATGTCTCGAAAGGGTAGGGGAAGTAGGCCACCAGTTTTAGCCGCCTTTTGCGTCTAACTGGTCCTTTTGCAGTGTTGTTGCTTGTCGTTGCAGAACCAGTAGTCGTGAAGGCGGATTGGCGGCTTTCGCTCCTCTACCCGTCTCGAAGACAGGGTCAGCAGCTTTGGTTACCGCAGTCGCCTAGCTCGGACACGCGCCAAGTTCGCGGGCATACCTTTTGACTGCTTTCCAGCGAAAAAGCAGCGTCGAGGGATGGTGAGTTGCCCTGAGGAGGAGTTAGCGGATGCGGCTTAGAGCCGCCGAGACACTCGTGCTGGCCGAATTGAACTGTGACATCGTCACTGATGCCTATACTCAGACAAATGCTGCAGCGGCTCGGTTGCCCAACTGGGCTCTTCGCTGCTAAGCCGCGGCACCTATATCTCAGCCTTACATGCATCAGGCCCAGTAGCGGCCCATAGATGGGAGCTGCCGACCCGCGCATATAGTTGATGCCATGCTGAAAGTGGCCCGCACGCCTATATGGGCTCATAATTTCTCTGGCGGCCCGCGTACCCATACAGACGCATGCTGAAATTAACAGCGACCCGCTCATCCACATAAATTAACTCACACTGTAATTGCGAAGGTTACTCGCGTGATACGACGCAATAGAAGGATGCCATCGGAGCTTGCAGGAAAATTAACACTTGTCTTTTGGGCTGACAACAAGTTTCTTGAAAGTTGATCGCTGATGTGGTTTCAAATGACCTCGTGTAGTTCGATTAATGATGTGAATGCATGGAACGGGTTTCAGTGTTTTTGATTTCACATGCGTTGTATCCACATCTGAGGTGACCCGCGCATGCATGTGCGGCCTGGCAGAAACCCAACTCCAGTGTGCCGACATTGTCGGCACTTCTTAACAACCGTATCTTTGCTGTTACCGAAGTACCTTACAGGTCATGCCATAAGCATGACCTGCTGTGATAGCCTGTTATATTACTCTACCACGCCCTATTACACCATTCTATTACTGCACTAAGACATGCACGTCGTCTGTTAAGAAGCTATGCTTTCGTGTTCTATATAACAAACCACAAGAGGCGCTATTTTGCCTCAGGCTACTATAAAGCCAAAGAACCACCGATACACCCAGGGTGGCCCTGCCATGCTAGGGCAACCCATTAACGGGAAAGCGACATTGAAATACAAGCTGGCCCGCTCGTCCGGGTAATAGGGTCGCTGCACACACTGGAACCGTCGCTGGCCCGCGCTAGCATGAGAGGGTTAGCCCCGGCATGGGTTTTCGCCCAGCCGCCCATGAGCGCCCGGGTGGCCGCAAAAAATGTCCGAGTAGTACGCATATACATCCCAAAAGATTTTGTGCAAGTACAAGGTACACGTGTACAGGAGGAGTTCGGTGCTGACCTCATCGCTTTTTGAGCGATTCGGACAAGCTTGCAAACGTCTAATAGGAAGCGTATGAGACCGTGGGCCTTATAGGAATCTCTCTATACTTGCATCTTTGCCTCTTATACGGGGTCTGCCACTCCTGTTAATCTCCTCCATACTTCTCAATCTAAGGCTTGGTCTTCAATTGTCGCAAGTCTTCTCATGACTGTTTTGAATCCATCCATCGTTTTGAGTCTTCCCCTCGGCTTCTGTTGTGACAAGCTTGTTAGAGCAGCCCTCATCTTTTCGTATGGTATCATTCGCAATCATGATGACTCCTAATCCAACGCAACATATTTGTTTCCATTACATCAAAATAAGTCATAGTTCTTCATTGCGCGCACACGGTCAGCATTTGCTACCATATGTGATGTTCCTTTTTGTTTTTTATTTTTTCCTGGTGCACCCTGAGTGTTTAATACAAACAAACAAATAAACAGATATGATGCGCATAGTCAAACTGTAGAATATAAGTGAGTACATCCATCTAAATTGACTGCCCCAGTCAACTTACGTGCTCGCCTTCGCATGTCTTGTGAAGGATCCCTCTTTTAACCATGCTGCGTTCATAGGGGCCTGCATGATCGCGCGAGTCAGACGTGCGTACGGCCACTGCGCCGCGCACGTCCGATGTCGCTGCAGGTGCCAGACTTATCTTATTTGACTGGTTGGTCCGGTTCACTCATTAGCTATTGGTCAAATCAATGCACTGACCAATAGCAGAGGGGTGAACCGAATGAACCTGCTGAATAGGGTAAGTCTGGTACCTACTTGAGTCGTGGGACGGACATCGAACGTGCGCGGCGCAGTGACCGTACGCAGGACCCACTCTCGCGATCATGCAGGCCCCTATATCCTGCTCATTCTCTTCGTGTTCTTCTATCTGATATGCGACTGCCTAGATACTACTTAACGCAAATGGTCTTCTTGTTTAGTGATTGCGTGCGCCGCGTATGTCGCCTGCGCTGCGCAGTCTGGCTCAACCTTCGGGCTGACTTTTCCACTTCACATGGAACTCGACATCTATTCTGCATTCTTGCCCTCCTTGTCATCGTCCGCAAACATAAGCAGTGTATATGAAGTTTCTAGCAATCGCTATTATGACTGTCAGATTGTAGATTCTTCTTCTTTCACTGCACTATTCACGCACGATCTGCTCTTGCACTGTCCACTACATATGATGGTACAATATGTGTCAATCACGCCCTCCCTTTTCCGTAAGCGCAATCGCCCCGCCAAAGCTTCGCGCTACTTCCGCGAGCGCATGGCTTGGGCATTCAAATTGGCCTCATCGACGGAGGTCTGCACGCAAGGCCATCGCTGCGTATGCATAGTTCTTACGCGAAAGGTAATACGTTATTGACACAGACTATACGCTGCACTTTGTCAACCTTCTCCACGTCGAGGAATGCTGCGTACAGCTCAAATTCCTTTTCCCTGCTTCTTTTATGATTATCATGGCTTTGTGGATTGCGTCTGTTTTGTACACTTCAAGTCCATAATTACTGGGAGCCAGTTCATGGTATTTCGACGCCGCAACTCCAGTAATCTATGGGAGATCTTTGCGTAAGATAAGACTGGCTTGTGGATGTCATCTATGCAAAGCGTCCTTCGTCATTCACTTAACTCTTGACTTTCCTAGCATTTCCTCTGACTGTCTTTGATGTTACAGAAGTGCACGTGCGGTGTTAGTACTTCGCAATCCACAATGCCAATGAAATTCGTGTTTAATACTGTCAAGTACAAGTCTAGACACCTTTTCTACCTGGAAAGAAGCATTCATTCAAGTTCAGCATGCCAAATACCCCCCCCCCCCTCCCCCTAGACAGGCAAATCCGGGTTTGGACCCCATACCGTGATGCTACCGTAACTCCACCGGATGGCGCTGTCGCACGAAATAAACATCATATTCGTGTTCAGCATGCCAAATGACCCCTCTAAACGAAGTTTCGGGCAAATTCGTGATTTTGACCCCTGCCGTAATCTTACCGTAACTTCACCGAATGGCGCTCCCGAGCGAAATAAACATCATATTCGTGTTCAGCGTAACTAACCCCCCTAGACGAAGTCTTAGCGAAATTCCCGACTTTCATTTTTTGGGTCAACTAGTGTGGAATAGTACCGACTTCTCGTCCACGATGAATTCTGAAGGGTATCCAAAACTTAATTTATTTACTTATTTAATAACTTTGCATTTATCCCATGTGATTGGGGTCTGCTACTTTTGTGAGTCTCTTCCTGATTCTGTGTCTGTTGCTTGTTGTTCGTTCAAGGCAAGTTCTCTTAAGTGTGCCTTGATTTTATCTAACCATCTTAAAGGCAGCGTCTCGGCAGAACGAACCTACCTCAGATTTTGACAGATGGATAGGAGGCCCTTTAAGTGAACCAAAACAGCAACTCTTCGCCGAAAATGTGAAATCTGCAAGCCAGGAAGCGGCCCAACCGCCGCTCCCCTTCCTCCTTTCGCTCCCCTAACACCTTGTTTGGACGAGTATGTTCTCCGCTAGAAAGCGCGCTCACTCGTAGCTTCGTAGGGCAGAATTGTTCTAGCGCTCTCTACCTCCTTACTCTGCGTCTCTGACGGCAGAGAAAAACGGCTCACTCGTCCGCTCCCGTCTCAAAGGAGGCTTCAAAAACGGGGTTTTCCCCATTTTCGCGCTAAGGGGAGTTTGTCGTGATTCAGGGGGCCGGAATAGCCCCAAATCTGCCAAAACCCCGAAGTTGAAAATCTGTCAAGCCGCTGCCTTTAATTTAGGTCTTCCTCTCCGTCTTTTTCCTGGAATACCCAGTGATAGTGCCAATCTCGTAATGTGTCCCTCTTCTTTTCTCACATTTCCATAACGCAGAAGACGCTTCTCTTGTAGCTTCTTTATGATTGGAGCCACCTTCATTGTGCTAAATATGGTATCTAGCATAGTCAGCCTGCAGTCCATCTCAGCATTCTTGTTTCCACTACTTCGAGCTGGCGTTCTTCTTTCCGTGTGCACGGCCAGCATTCGCTGCCGTAGAGTGCAGCTGGTCGAATAATCGTGCGGTAGATCTGAGACTTGAAACTGCGAGGAATTCGTTTATCGCAAAGCACTCCAGTGAGGCTTCTCCACTTTACCCAGGCTGCATTTATTCTGATGTTTATCTCGCCGTAAGGTCCCGTCTGCGGAGATACAACTTCCTAAATATTTGAAAGAAGTTGTCTTTTTGATTTGCGTGCTTCCAATCTGAACTTTCCCGGGCGTCTGGGCTCCAAGTTCCATGTACTCGGTCTTCTTTGTGTCTAGTGTCAATCCATGCTGTTGTTGCTTACTCTTCCACTTCTGTATATCGACTTCGAGCCGCCCGACTTTTGGCCATTAGGATTATATCGTCCGCATACAGTTAATGCCAATTACGTACTCCCTTTCGCATGGGAACTACGCATGTGCAACGCAAGGGTCGTGCGTGAGGACCTCCAGTCGATGACGCTTATTTGCATGCCCGAGTCATGCGCTCGCGAACATGGCGCGTAGCTTAGTG